GCAAAAGGAGAGCGTGTGTTGTGTGAGTCAGGCCCCTGGGACTGCCCCTTCTGCCTCTGCTTGGCTCTTCCCTGTCTCCAGATACAACCCTTTGTTTTTTTCCCTACCTTGCAAGGAATGAGCGACTCGGGGTCCACATGCATGTTAGTTAGTAAATGATGCATTTCTTCCTGTGCGAGCAGCTTTCACAGCTTCCTGCTGCACTGCTAATGCTCTCTGGCACACGTCTGAATGACTGTGAAAAAGCCAGGGCTCCTCAAGGCAGTGTACAAAGTCTTCCTCCGCACAAGCACAGAGAGTGTTTTGGTCTCCAGTAATTTCATTTCCTTTAATTTCTCCTGTTCCAGCTGGGCCGATGCACAAACAGTGTGGTTAAGTATGAACTGATGCGCCCGTCTAACAAAGTCCAGCTTTTGGTGCTGTGTGAGGACCATAGAGGGAGGATGGTGAAACACCAGTGTTGCCCTGGCTGTGGATACTTTTGCACTGCAGTAAGTCCGTGCTCTCAATCTAGGGAAGGGGGTGCCTGTCGCAGTAGCTGGAAGAGCTGAAAGGTGGAGATGGTACCTAAAGGGGTTTACTGACTTCCTGGCATCAGCTCCACCTCATTCCACAGCACATCAGGTGGTGTTTTCAACAGGAATGTGTGTGAGGGTAGCTGCCATCGTCACCTTTATCTTCCTGGAGACCCCGAGGGGTGTTCCTGAAGGGTTTTCACTGGGATTTCACACAGTGGACGTCTTGTCTTAGTAATTTCTTTGGAACAAGGGGGGTTTTTTCTTTCTCTGTACAGATAATCGCATCAAAAACTGTATTAGCTTGGTTTGTGAATGGATCTGTGTCCAGACATCTGTGTGCCCCCGCCTGCTCCTGATGGTTTAGCTGGGGAACCTGAGTGATGGCACTGGGACAAGGCAGTGTTTGAGATGTCCTGCTGCTTCCTCCACTTCTGCCACCGAGGCTTTTGATAGTGTTGGTCCAGGCCTTTAAGTCGTCAGCGTCCTAGTTTCCCTGTTGCTAAAGCTGAAAAGCACCAGTTGAGGGCCTCGCTGGGTGATGGGGAGGCTTAGCTGTCTGCTGCTAGTGTTCTTCAAGATGACTCAATAAAAGATGCTACAGTAGTCTCAAGCATTATTGTAATAAATGGAGCCATCCTGGGTTTTCAGGCTGAGTCAAAGAATAAGATCCTCAAAACCCTTAAAGGCATTTCGTAAAGCTGAAATAGTTAATGAGATTGCTTGGGAGGACTGTGCCTTCAGGAGGAGAATCTCTGGGTTTTAACCAGCCTTTCCTTTCTCAGTGACATGTCATAGTTCTCAAGCTGAACCTGGGAGTGTTGGTCTGTGCTGTCCAACACTAATAATCCAGCAGAACTTCAGGTAGCACTTAGATCACAGGGCAGTGAGGTCTGGGGCACCTTCAGTTCAGTTGGAAGGACTTTGCTGGAAAGGGACAATAATTCAGAGCAGTTGCCCAAGGTGGCTGAACGAGCAGCCAGCCACGTTACTGGGGTTGAACAGCACAGGGGGCTGCTCTGAGCAGAGAAGTCTCATCCTTCAGGTTCCACTGGGGTGATTTAGCTGTATTCATGTAGGTCCTGGAATGGTTTGTGTGCAGCTTTGTTGGGTAGGTTTCATGCTGGCTCAGCACACAGGTCTGAAGTTTTCTCTTCCAGTTTTGGGGGCGTCCTTACAGTACACTGGCACTTCTAGAAACATAAGTGAGAACTTCAAGCCTTAGAGGAAAGAGCTGGAAATTGGGACTTCTCGGTTCTCTTTCCCAAACACAATTAAAAAAAAAAATTTGCTTTGCAGTCCCTAACCAAGTGAGTTTTTTTCCTGTTTCCTTGGTGGTGTTCTCTTCTAAGGAAGTGGCAGTGCTTGCTTACTGTACTGGAAGCGCCAGGGACAGGAGTGGTGATGGATGAAGTGTTTAAGAGCTCCGTGGCTGAAGCATGTAGAAGGGGTAAGGCACACGTGGCGACCAAGGAGTGAATTTTCTTCTGTGTGGTTTTTTTAGGGCACTTTCATGGAGTGTCAGCCCGAGAGCAGCATCTCCCACCGGTTCCACAAGAACTGTGCCTCCCAGGTCAACGACATGAGCTACTGCCCACACTGTGGGGAAGAGGCCTCCAAGGCAAAGGAGGTGACAATAGCAAAAGCAGACACGACCTCGACGGTGGCGCTGACCTACGAGCAGCAGAAACCAGCAGCTGTGGAGGGAAGGGCTGACACCACGACGGGGAGGTGAGCTTGGAAGCACGTGGTGATCTCAAACCTCATGCCAGCCTGCACTTGGCATTTGGAGGCTTCTGCTCCTCCTGATGGAGCTGAATGCTTTGGGGTCCTGCTCTGGCAGGCCCAACTCGGAAAAAATAAGAAGATGGTGACGAGCAGGTTCTTCTCCCCCTCTACTCAGCTCTAGTGAGGCCCCACCTCTGGAGTATTGTGTCCAGTTCTGGGCTCTTCTGTTCAAGAGAGACAGGGAACTACTGGATAGGGTCCAGCAAAGGCTACAGAGATGCTGAGGGGACTGAAGCATCTCTGTGACCAGGACAGGCTGAGAGCCCTGGGGCTGTTGAGCTGGAGAAGAGAAGACTCAGAGTGGATCCAGTCAATGCTGATCAAGAGCTAAAGGGCATATGCTGGTCAAGAGGATAGGGCCAGACTCTTGTCAGTGGTGCCCAGTGACAGGACAAGGGGCAATAGGCACAAACTGGAACCCAGGAGGTTCCACCTGAAAAGGATGAAAAAATTCTTTCCTGTGAGAGTGATGGAACCTTGGAGCAGGCTTCCAATTCCAATTGGGACTGGACACCATCCTGGGCACCCTGGTCTGAGTGACCCTGCTGGAGCAGGGGGGTTGGATGAGATGATCTCCAGAGGTCCCTTCCAACCCTCACCAGTCTGTGATTCTGTGAAGTGTGTTTGGTGATGCTGAATGTGTTGGAGAGGAGTGTAGCAGCCACAGGGTGAGCTGGGACAGAGGCTATGAAGATAGGAGAAATTAAGGTGTTAAAACCTTATCATATTGTTAGGAATGAAATAATAGTGGAACAAGTTGATGTTGCCAGGTCTCCACAGTGACAGGGAAATTTGGGCCTGTAGGCCCTCAGTTGCACCAGTGGGCACAGATATAAAGAGAAGATGGAAACATAGGTCAGACCACCCCTGTGTTGAACAGTGCTGTGACTTCCCATACCTGTTCTTCTTCTGGTGGCTTTTATGACTTGCCCATGTTCCTGGGTTTCCTATATATTTTGACTACATCAAAATATAATCACAGGGCAGTGCAACTTCTTTTTGGGGCAAAAAGGCTGTAAAGTATATCAATTTTTGTTTCAATTTTACTTGCACTTGTCTGTATTTAAAATTCATTTCCTTTCCTTCTTTGGCATAAGATCCAGACTATTGTGTATTTTTAATGGCTGGGCTGTGGCTGTCTCTCAATTTCTCCCTTCAGTGGCACTGGGACACGGTTGTCAGAGGAAGACAAGCCAGAGAGTTCAGCTGCTGAGGGCTTTGACATCGCTGGGTCTGCAGTTTTTCCAAAGCCCACTACTAGCCAAGGACCAGTTAAAGAAACTCTGGAAAGTGCCCTGTTTGCCCTGGACTCTGAAAAGTAAGAACAAGACTGCTGGGTCTCTCCAGGTTCCAGCAAAGATGCTTAACCTAGAAAAAAACTGAGATTTAGCTTTAGATTTTGACCTCACTCAGCCCTTTATTTGTTCACTTCATTTGTCACTCCCAACAGGTTATAGATTCAAGGGAACAGTTACAGCTCTGAATGTCTTACTGATTGCTCTGGAGGACTTAGATTTTCACTGGCCTTCCAACCACACTGTAACTACTAGAAGTGTCTGTTTAAAGTAGTAAGACACAGAATTTGTTGATGTGTGGCACTAAATAGATCTGGCCCTCATTAGAACAAGGCTGTCAGTGGTTGGAGCTGCAACTTTTGTGTCTAGCTGTGGAGTCCTTGGCACAAGAAGGACATGGACCTCTTGGAGCAGGTCTGGAGGAGGCCACAAAAATGATCTGAGGGTGGAACCCTTCTTCAGGAAGGCTGGGCTGAGAGAGTTGGGGTTGTTCAGCCTGGAGAAGAGAGGGCTCTGGGGAGACCTTCCAGGACTTCATGGGGGCCGCAGGAAAACTGGGGACAAACTTTTCAGCAGGGCCTGTTGAGACAGGACAAGGGGGGACGGTTTTAAACTAAAAGAGGGAGATTTAGACTAGAGAAAAGGAAGACTTTTTGATGCTGAGGGTGATGAGCCCCTGGCCCAGGTTGCCCAGAGAGGTGGTCACTGCCCCATCCCTGGAACCATCCCAGGTGAGGTTGGCCAGGGCTCTGAGCAACCTGCTCCTGCAAGGAGGTTGAAAACCCAAAACATATTATGTTTCTATGTTAAGATTTAACATCTTCTCCTGGAGACTTGTTCTTGTGTTGTGCTGACACTCTGGAGCTGCACCATGGGAACAGACTTTGTCATGCACGTGGGGCAGGAGTGTCTTTCAGTGAGTATTAATTATGCCTCTTTTCCCTGCTCCTGCAGTGGGTGAAATGCCAGGAGTGTCCTTCAGTGAGTGTTAATTATGCCTCTTTTCCCTGCTCCTGCAGACCCAAGAAGTTACGGTTCCATCCAAAGCAGTTGTACTTCTCTGCGAGGCAAGGAGAGCTGCAGAAAGTCCTGCTTATGTTGGGTAGGTGGCCCCTTCCCAGGGCATTGTGTGTCTGGGCAGTGCCCCTAGCTCCTGCCAGGCAGCTGCCAGTCTGGCTCCCAGCATGGCAGCATGTCAAACCCTCCACTGCCCCTGGTGAGTGGAGCTGGAGGAGAAGACCCCTCCTGCAAGTGATGTGTCATTGGGAATGGCTTCATCTTTCTGGGAAATGTGGACCTGCTCCTGAATTGTTTCTGCATTTAGGCATGGTTTTATTCAGAGAACCTGTTAATATCCCCCAATGACTTACACCTGGTTTTTCCAGTCCATCAGAACTTTTCCTCTCTGTGCAGTGGGATAGTTACATGTTTGCCTTCAACAGAGGGGTAAAAAGCTGGGAGTCAGCTTAAGCTGAGTCACAACAGCAAGAGAGCAGAAAAGAAGAGCCCTTTGGGGTTGTTTGGGGGTACATAGTTGTCTGTCACTAGATGACTTTTCACAAATACTCCCGAGTAGCCTCCCCCTTTGGAGGACATGATGCTGCCTTGGGATCATTTCCTTCCCACTCCAGTACTTTGCAATGTGTTTTTGGATGTTCTCTGTTCCTTTAATTTATCAGATTCTTCTTTTTTCTTCTAGCAAGCGTTGGCTTCATTGTTTGTGTCCTCAATAGCACAAAAATGTTATTCATTGATGTTTAACTACAGCCTCATCATATGCAGCATGTTATCATGCCCAGACATCTTTGTCTGGCTGTCATTGTCATCTGTCAGTCTTTGCACAGCTGTGAGAATCTCTGGCCAGATCCTGAGCTTGTCTGAGTTGGAGAAACTCCATCCAGTTTGTAGCCCTGTGTTTGCAGGGGAGCCACAAGGGTTGCTGGTACTAATGCCAGTTAAGTGTGGTGAGACAAAAGGGCCAGGTAGTGCTGGCTCTGTTGGTTCCAACTTCTGTGTTGCTTTAAACAAAGCAGCCTATTTTTCATTATCCTTGTATAGTTTGTGGTTTTGTTGCACTGAGAGATGGTGAATTGGGAATCTGAGGGAGATGGCCTGTGTAGAAATTGTAATACCTTGAAAGTATTAAATTCCATGGTGTTTCTGGAGCTCTTGGTTTGAGGGCTGTTGCATATTGAATGTCCAAGGGACTACCCTGAGAGCTTTCTGGCTTGATTGTGTAGTGAGCTGTGAGGAGGGCTGGAGATGGGCTGGGAACCCATCCTTTAAAAGCCTTTAGCTGAGACCTGGTTCTCCTGTTACACTTTTCTTTAACCTCTGAATTGTGGTTGAAAGCATCTCTGCTCTGTTTTTCAGTGGATGGAATTGACCCTAATTTTAAAATGGAGCACCAGAGTAAGAGGACCCCTCTCCATGCTGCCGCCGAGTCTGGCCACGTGGACATCTGCCACATGCTCATCCAGGTCTGTTTCCACTTGTGCTCTTCTGTATGAGCAGTGATCTGTGGATTTTGGTCTCCTGCCCCACATGGCTAAAGCACACTGGGAAACCAGCACTGAAACATCCCTTCTGTGAAAATCCTCCTCGTTCTCAGGGTTTGCTGAGGGAGAAGTGGTGGAGAGGGACGTGAGCTCTTGGAGGACATGATTGAAGCTGTCTTTCTAGGCTGTTCTCCAAGCAGGCATCACTGGCTGGGCAGTGAGCATGTGACACTTGGATGTAGGACCCTCTGGAGCATGTGGCAGCCTCTGTACCTGAGCACACCCAGCCCTGCCAGCTGTGCCAGCCCTTGCTGACCACTGGTGGACTGCAGGTGATCTGCAGCCTGCTGCCAAGTTGCTTTTTCTCATGAAGGTAGGGAGGCTCTGGGGCCTGGAAGCCAGAAGACCCTGTCTTCCCTTCTGTCAAATCCTGAGTGACTCCAGCAGGATTTTCCTCTGTGATGTAAACATCCCACATGTGAAAAGGAGAGAAGGAAAGATGCAAATTTGGGTTATTGTTCCAGATTTGGATTCTGATTGAGGGAAGATGGTCAAAAACCATAGGGCTGCTCTGGTTGAACCAGCCCCAAAATGATGTGAAGCAAAAAAAGGAGGATTTAAAAAGTTATAGCTTTCCTTTTTTTGTACTGGCATAGATCATCTGGAGTGACTGGAAGTGTGGTTTATTTACCCTGTGTGACTGGGAAGCCTGAAAGGGCCTTTGAGAAAGCAGCAGTGCTGTGTCTTTGATCACAAGCCTGCTGGGATGTTGTGTTTCAACGTCTGGAGTCAGAGGCTTTCAAAGTGCTGTTTGAAGATGCAGCCATGGGCCTACCCTGCTGCTCTTGCTCACTTCTGCTACTGCACATGAAGAGAATGGAATCACTTGTATGAGGAAAAGGAGCAAAATTTGTCAGATATTACAAACAATTTGAACTGAGTGTCCGTAGGGCTGGTTTGCTTCCAAAATCCTTCATCTTCTTGTCTCTTTGCTGATGTCTGGGTACTGCAGCAACACAGTATTTGGCTGGGAATGTCCTCAGCTTGTTAAACTTGAAAAGCCTCTTCTCTGCTCTGGTTTAAAATAGCTCTAACTATTTAAAAGTAGTCAAAACAAATGTGTTCAGAGGGAGGCACCTGGAAGCCACGGGGCCAACGTCTCGTGCCAGGTGAACCTGAGTCAGCATGTGGCTGCTGTGAACAGGTCTGGGCTTCACATGTACCTGTGTGGCCTGCCAAGAGTTGGGCTGCCTCTGAAATTGTAAGTATTGGGTGGGTTACTGAGCTAAGGCAAAGAGTTAAGCAGGCAAGGTCCATGATGGGGTAGTGTTTTGGAAAGGAGGAAGATCTGGTCCAGTTTTGGTCCGAGGCACTCCACGTTGAACTGAACATATACTTGGAGACCTCTGTAGAAATGTTACCCTTGACTTCAACAGGAGCCAATGTCCAGGATTGGTTTATACAGCTCCTACTTTTGTTGCAGTCAGTCAGTTGTTCCTCCTGGTTCTGAGATTGGGAAGAGCTGGTTAGTTTGTTCATTGTATCTGTAAAAATGATAGACCAGGGAAGACAAAGTTGCTGGAGAAAGGAGAGGCTGATTTTTCCAAACTGTTACACAAACAGCATCTAGAAAGCTGCAGTACAAAATCCATTAATAAGAGGAGTCATTTGCTACCAGCTGTTGGCTTCCCTGGCTGTGGAAGGCAGGAGAGAGGGCAGGCAGTGTGCTGCTTTCCAAAACAGGTGAATTTGAACTGCCTCCTTTCCTGGTGGGTGTTGGTTGGTTGGTTTGGTTTGGTTTGTTTGTTTTTCCCCTGCTTACTATGGCTAAAGTTCCAGAAAAAAACCTTTCTACTAAGTCTCTACTCCCCTGTCCTTCCTCTGCTAACCAGTAATGATTTAATTGTCCTTGTATCTGCCTTGGCCTCTTAACAGGCTGGTGCTAATATAGACACTTGCTCTGAAGACCAGAGGACCCCACTGATGGAAGCAGCAGAAAACAACCATCTGGAAACTGTGAAATACCTTATCAAGGCTGGAGCACTATTAGATCCTAAGGTACTGATTTATTCCTTGTCTTTTTCTCCTGAAGAAGCCTCTGCTCACCATTTCTTTCTTGGTAGGTTTGAGGTTGGCTGGAAGTGTACAGGCAGAGGGGACAGGGACTTGCTTGTCGTGGGCAAAAATGCTTGGCCAGGCTCTGGTTATTGGTGGTGCTGTTTTAATGGTTCAGTGTCCTGGCTGGGAGCAGTTCAGGACAAGTGCTGCCACTTGCTACATTAGTTTGTGGCACCAAATGTTGAAGGTGTTGGATTTCAGATGAGGCCTGTAAGGATTAGTATCACAAATCCATTGCAGTGAACTTGGAGTTTAATTTCAGAGTTTCCTTCTCTGTAAACTCTAATAATGAGAAATTTTGGGGTGCCATTTCCAAACGGGCTGATAATTAGGTGCTTTCCAAGCCAGCAGAAATGACAGAGGAAGCTTTGCTTTCCAAAGGACTGATGGGTGGTTTCTTGCAGTCACGCTGCAGTGGCAAAATTGGACCCCATCTTTAAACTCTGCCCTTTAATTGACACACACACAATAAACCCCAGCTGTCTGTTTGCCTTTAGCATGCTCTGCTTGCTTTGCAATCTTGGAAAATCTACAGATCATTCATTACCCCCATAAATCGGATGCTATTTGGAGCACAGGAACCCTCCCCATGTACCTTCTCATTGTTACAGCCTGATGCTGCTGCTGCTCCTCTGCTATTGCTGGGGAGGATGGCAGGGCTGGGATGCTCACTTCACCAAGGAGCTGGGAGGACTGCACAAGATACCAAGTGCTGCCCACCCCGAGCCTTAAACAGATCTTTGGGGGCCTGGTTCTGAGCTGGGAAGGGGAAAAGGATGTGGCCAGCACGTGTGGGCTCATGCTAGCCACTGTCCTGAGTGTCTTGGAGCAGTCCAGACATGTCTCACCTGATCTATTCCAGTGGAGGAGAACAAGGAGTGGGGGGATTTGCTTCTAAAGGTGAAGGGAAGGAAAGGAATCCTGAGCTTGCAAAAGCAAATTAGAAGCCTGAGATCACATCTGAAGTCTAGACTAGTTTATTATGGTAATTAGTTTCTTGCACCAAATTAGTCATCTCTCTGAAAGCGGCAACATAGCAGTTTAAAATCAGCTCCAGCCATTTCCCTGAGAAATCCATCCATGCCCTGCTGGGGGTGTGAGCTGAGCCTGCCCTGCCCAGCCCTGCAGGACTGCTGGGGACAGTGGTGGGAGCTGCTCAGCCCCTGGGTGAGGCTGCTCATCCTGGTGATCCAGTGTGAAAGCCTCACTCAAAACCTGCAGAAGCTACATTAAAACATGCCTGCTCTCCGTTGGCTTGAGAAGCTGCACTTGGCTCCTGCTGGTCTCAGGGGAAGGCTGTGGCATTATTGGGATGTGGCAGGCACTTGGGCAGCTCTAGGGACCCTTTCTGTGCCCCAGGAGTCCCACCCAGTGTCATTCCTGACCCAGGATGTCCCACCCTTGCTCGGAGGGTTGCTGCCTAGCCCCGTGCTGTGTTCTACACTCAGCCTCATGCCAAAGCTCTTGCCTCTGATGTTGCTTCCAGATGCTTAGCTGGAAGGAGTCATTTTGCTTTTCAGGCTTTCATTTCCTTCTCCTTATTTCCTGGTCTCAGGCCTCACTATGTGCTAAGCTCCTGGGATAGAAATGCTTGATAAGAATCAGGCTCCAGCCTCCAGATCTTTGGTGTTGGTGTGGGAGTGTCTGGGGTGTGACTCAGAGCCTGTCCATCTCCATCAGACCCCGTGTTCTCAGCTCCCAGAGGCGTTTTTCCTTTCAACCTTTGGGGTTGTTTTTTATCTCCTAGCCAGGCAGACAACTCCCAGCACTGGGGATGGGGACCTGGGCTCTCCAGAGGCTCCTGGCCCTGTGCAGGACACCCCTATGTCCTGCTGCAAGGTGCTGGGGCGAGGCCTTGTGATAATAAAACACAGCAAAAAAACCCTGTCTAAATAGAGCATTTCAGGATGAGACAAGGCTACTTTTCTCAAGTAAAGTGCAAGCTCTCCCTCTCTAAGGGATTTCTGCCTTCCCTTGGCTCTCCAGCACATGGAGGAGAGTTGGAGAGGGTCTGTTGCAGAGGGGGAGCACCAATTTGCTGGAGTTTGGGGCTGGTACCTTCCCAAGGCTTTGCAAACTCCTTTGCAAACTCAAACTTCTGCAACTCCCACTCCACAAGTTGCACCTCTGAGCTTTGTGTAAGGCTCCCTCTGCTCGGTGCTGGTGTTGGTTGCTGCTGCTCTCTCCCCTGCTGGCAGCACACTGGGGGCTTTTGGAGACCTCTGCTCCATCTGTGAACTATTGTGGTGTTTCTAACCATCAGTGGTGTCATGCAGACGTGGGAGATGCTGGGAAGGGGTGTCCCCTGAGTGCTTGTTCTGTGTCTGTGTCCAGGATGCGGAGGGCTCCACGTGTCTGCACTTGGCTGCCAAGAAGGGGCACTATGATGTTGTTCAGTACCTCCTCTCCAACGGGAAGATGGATGTCAACTGCCAGGTGAGGCCTTCTGCCAAGGGTAGAAGCTGCTTCTTTCAGTTCAGGCACCCTCAGCAGTGTGCTGTCTGCACAGTGGTTCCTCAAATAGGGTCCTGCTGCTGGGGGGCACCTGAGAAATGTTACAGGGCAACAGTGCCGTGGGCAGCCCGGCCTGCCAGAGGAGGCAGATCCCCCACTGACCCCATGGAAGCTTTCCTTCCATGTGCCTTGATTTGCAGCTTCTCCTTGACCTTGGTTTGCTGTGAGCCTGTTGCTCAAGGATGTCACTGTGCTCCTCCTGGCAGGGGGTAGTGGGATCAGGGATGTGCTGTGGGGTGGGTTGAGCCTGGCACTCAGCAGAGCTCATCCATTGCCGTGGGGTGAGGCAGTGTTGCCTCAGGGTACCTCCTCTGGGGAGAAGACCAGCTCCTCCAACCTTCTCAGAGAGCTTTTCTAGGAGCTTTTACACGAGCTGGATGTTCATTGTGCTGTTTGGACAGCCAGCTGTATTTGAACAACCTGGAGATCCACTGGCAGCACGCTGAGCTGCAAATAAACCCCAGCCTGCTGAGGCACCTTGGTTGGAATCACGCTGGACTCTGCAGGGACCTCCCCTGCACAGCATAGACCAAAGGGGAGTGATGAGACAGATGTGGGGAGGGAAAGGGTCTGTGGCTGCCTTGGGAAGCCAGCAGGATTCTGCCTTGCCTGTTCTGTGTGTCTCACTCTCCTTTCCCCTCAGGACGACGGAGGCTGGACGCCGATGATCTGGGCCACCGAGTACAAGCATATTGAGCTGGTGAAGCTGCTGCTTGCAAAGGGGTCAGACATCAACATCCGTGACAATGTAAGGTTCTTCCTGGAATCTGTTTCAGAAATGAACCATAATCTCTGTTTAAAAACAAATGAGCCCAAGGAGGCACATTCTGGGCTTCGTGTGGGGAGGTGCAATTGTCCCTTGATGCAGCTGGTTCGAGGCAGTGGGAGAACGGTGTCTGGGGGGAGAATTTTCCTCCATATTCTGGGCAGTTCACAAGCTGGCAGGAAGGCCTTTTCCTCCAGCTCTTCTGACACAGCCTGTAGGGATGCTGCAGGCTGTGCTCAGCTCCATGCCTTGCTGCTTCTAATCCACCTGGGCCCACTTGGACACTACACCAGGCAGGTTCCTCTTGAGTCCACACTTACCAGCACCATGCTGGTCACAGATCAGTGTGCACTGGGCATGGGTTGGGGTCATCCTGCCTGCCTTTTGAGGGGCATAAGCTTGTCCTCGTGTTTTCTGGATGGATTGGGCAGACACTCTGCTGGCAAGTGTCACAAGGCTGGCTTTTCCCAGGCATAACAGTCACATAGTCACCCATGTGGACAGAGCGTGCCCAGGCTGGTGGCTCAGTGTGCTGGAGCTGGCTCTTGGCCTGCTCCTCACCTCTGTAAATCCTTCTTGAGTGGGAGGTACTCTGTACTTGAGTCCCTGGGAGCTCCATGTGAGGGATTTTGATGGATGAAGGGTAACTGGCTCCACTACTTTCTGAAGAGTTGTTACAGTGAAGTACCCACCCCAGAGCACACTCTGGCATGCCTCATGGCAGTGCATTTTCTTGTCCAAGGCTTCTAGGGCTCTTTTAATCCAAGGAATATAAGCAACTGGTTTATATTTGTTTCCCTAAATGCCTTGTTTTGTGTCTTGGGTGCTAGCAGGGGTAGGTGTTGGCATGTTTGCCTCATGGGGCTCAGAAAGGCTCCAGCTGTTTCTGAGGAGTCACTGTCCCCAGTCTGAAAGCCTGTTTTAGTAGGAGCCCCTATTTCCTTGGTAGCTTAGATAGTTCCCAGGCAGGTCTGAATCTTGATACTGTTCCTAAAAAAAAAGTCCAAAAGTCAAGCAGAGAGAGAGAAGGGACTTTTTGGATTGTTGCATTGCTTCAGAGCCCTAGTGCTGACTCTGAACAAAACTGACTTGTTTGACCTGTCACAGAAACTCTTTGGCTACCAGTTACAAGATCACACATTAAATGATGAGAATGAAATTGGCTCAGTCAACAATTCACTTGAAAGAAAAATACCCTCTTAGCAGACGTGTGTCTCGTGTGCCCCTTACGGGTCCTGCCTTGGGTGGCTCCTGATTGCAGTCATTGAGCAGCAGTGTCACTTGTGCTGGGAAACATCACACTCCAGGAGAGATGCTTTGATTGTAATCATGCTGCTGTTAGGCAGGAGCTGATGCCAGGCAAAGCAGCGAGGCTGGGGTGTCTGTAACCTGTCTGAACAGCAGCACGTGGTGAGCAGTCAACAGGATTCATTTTTTCTGTAGATTGGGATGAAGGTTTTTTTCTAGATGTTACCATAAACAAGAGGCAGGAGTTGTATAGAAAAAGGCTCTCCCCACTCCCTGGTGTGTGTCTGCAGCCTCCTCGTTGAAGGAAGGATCTAAGTGAAGTTGCAATGACTAAAAGATGTGATTTATTTTTGCTTTTTTTATAAAAAAAGAAAAGTTAGGTGATCATTGTGCTGTTGTAATCCACATCTTTAGAGCTTGTCATGGGGAAGGGTTCGAAGTGTGCTGCTGCAAATTGCACTGTAACAGAAAACAGTAGCACTGCTTAAAATATCTCCATCAAAAAGATGAGTGTTCAGCTATTTCTAGAGCCGCCAGTGAGAGATGAGTACATACAGTATTTAAGAGAAGCCTGAAGTCAGATTGATTGCTTTCCCTGTGGCTCGTGGTTCTCTTTCTAGCACCTTCAGATCCCCAGCAGCTTCTGCTGTGCTCCTTTCCTCTCTCATTGTGCAGCAGCTTTCCTGCCTGTCTGGGCTGGGGAGGCTCAGCTCCCAGCCTTTTCCAGCGTGTTTGTTCCTGTCTGTCCCTCTCCCCTGGATTGATCCAGATTGTTTTGTGGCTTCCAGACAGGCGGTTTGCCTGCGGGGTGGGCGGGGCCGGGTGCCCTGTGTGCAGCCCCGTGCCTGGGGGTGGCTGGAGTGAGAACTCCCCGCGGGCCTGCCGGGAGATTTCCCCGCCTGCCCCGGCAGCCCCAGCCAGCCAGAGCAGTGGACCTGGGGGAGCAGGGCCGGAGGAGGCCACAGCAGTGATCTGAGGGCTGGAACACCTCTGCTGGGAGGCCAGCGGGAGAGAGTTGGGGTTGTTCAGCCTGGAGAAGAGAGGGCTCTGGGGAGACCTTCTGGTTGCCCTAAAGGGGGCCTGTCAGAAAGATGGGGAGAATCTTTTTAACAGAGCCTGTTGTGACATGATAAGGGATGATCGTTTTAAACTAGAAGAGGGAGATTTAGACTAGAAAGAAGGAAGAATTTTTGATGCTGAGGGTGGTGAGCCCCTGGCCCAGGCTGCCCAGAGAGGTGGTCGCTGCCCCATCCCTGGAACCATCCCCGGGGAAGATTGCTCTAGCTGCAGATGTCCCTGCTCAGTGCAGGGGGGTTTGACTAGGTGACCCTGAAAGGTCCCTTCCCACCCAACCCATCCCATGATTCTATGTAGGGAGGAGACAGCAAGCCACATGTTGCGTGCTGCAGGTGTAAAGCTGAGGGTGGTGAGGTGCCAAAGCAGTATTAGGGTTTTAATGCACTAAACAGCCTCTACTCTGTTTTCTTACCCTCCAGGAGGAAAATATTTGTTTGCACTGGGCTGCTTTCTCTGGCTGTGTCGACATAGCAGAGATACTGCTGGCTGCTAAGTGTGACCTGCATGCAGTGAACGTCCACGGGGACTCGCCCCTGCACATCGCGGCCCGAGAGAACCGCTACGAGTGTGTGGTGTAAGTACAGCTCCAGCCCTGCCCCTGCTCCCCCTCCCCTGGCCTCTCCTCCCTGCCTGCCTGCTGGCTGGCGAGCTCAGGAGAGCCTTTGAAGTGCCTTTCAAATGTAAGCACAACCAAAATGGATGGAGGGTTTGTTTCTCCGCTGCCCTGCTCCTCAGGGTCTGAAATACTCCCTGCTGCTAAAGCTGATGATAAAAAGGGCAGAAAATGTGGGCTGGTCCTGGAGTCCTTGGCAGGGGGCTGGAGGGGCTGTGCTCAGCCTGGGTTTCCCAGCAGAAAGGCATCAGGCATCCTTGTTTAAAGCTTTTTGTTTTTGTTTTCACAACTACTGTGGCATGATACAGTAACAGGGCTTCCCCTTTGCTTCGTCACTGCTATGAATAAAGTCATCATGTGTACTCACCAAAAGCTGATGAGTATAAACAAGGGCCAAGTCCAATCCCAGTTTCCTGTGGGACTCTTCCATTTCCAGTCTACTCTATCCACCCTGTGTCTTTCCCTGCCAGAGAGAGTCTCAAGCCTGTCTGAAGTTAGGCTGGTACCAGCAAGGTAGTTTGGTGAGGTTTGCCCAGAGCTCTCATGAATACCTAGAGCTCCAGCCTGTGGCTTCTGCCAGCGCCTTCACGTAGAAGGATTCACTGAACCATGCTTGATAATGAAAACTCAGGTGATTATTCACTACCCACAGATTCTTCCTTGCCCTTAAGGGCTGGCTGGAGGATGTGATTCAGCTCGTTTTCCTGGTGCGTGGTTTCTCTTGAGGGATGCTTATCCTCTCTTGCTGTTTTGCAGTCTCTTTCTTTCCCGTGGCTCGGATGTCACTTTAAAGAACAAGGAAGGGGAGACTCCACTGCAGTGCTCCAGCCTTAACTCTCAGGTCTGGGTGGCCCTACAGATGAACAAGACCCTCAAAGAATCATCTACTGAAAAGCCTGCCCAGATAGAGAAGGTCGTGAGCAGGTGAGAACACTGCTGCCTTTGCTTGTGGGTCATGAAGTAGAGCCCTTGTGTGGGGAAGGCTGGGGGCCTGGTTTAAGAAAGGGCTGCAAGTTCACACTTAGCTTTTTAAACTGATGTGAAGGTCAGTTTGAGCTTAGCAAGAACTAAGCACATGCTGATTCAGACCGTGGTTTGTAAATTCATCCTCTAATGGAAATATTTACGTGCACAAAGAACGGTCTGTGAGGCGGGGTGATAAAAACTCAGCTGTGTTCTGGCCTGAACTGCTTTCAGGCTTTGAGTGCTTAGTGATCAAAGGCAGTAGTTCTGCTCCACGATGGCATTTGGGTGGCCCTTTGTTCAGGGGGAGCTTTTCTTCTGTGGTGATTCTCTTTCTGCCACTGACAGAGACATCGCCCGGGGCTACGAGCGGATCCCCATTCCCTGTGTCAATTCAGTGGACAGTGAGCCCTGTCCTAGCAACTACAAATACGTTTCTCAGAACTGTGTCACCTCCCCGATGGACATTGACAGAAACATCACTCACTTACAGGTGAGGGGTCGTGTGTGTCCTCCTGGGTTTTCCTCTCCTGGTGTCTGCACTCAGAGGCGTCGCAGTGCGTGGCACCTCGGAACGGGTTCTGCATTCAGAATGGGATTGTCCAGTCCTAGTCTTGCCAGCAAATTCCAGCTAAGACTACAGCCTTAAACTCCAGCTCCCACTCTAGGAGATGGGATTCTGCTTTCCTTCCTTTCCAAGACTTAAGCCAAACTCTGTGTTACACAGTGTGCTGCAGCATCATCCATCTGCTGCTGGCTGATGTGGCTCCCAGTTATCCATTTCCTCTGTTCTGTATCTAGAGAGTCAGTAAGTTGTTGGGAGATCTTCATGCTGTCTCCCTGCTGACTGTAGCATCCAGGCCAAGGTCACCAGTGTGATACTGGAGGTCCTCAGAGGGGTGGTTTGTGAAAACAGAGGTGGGGAGGCATAGGGTGAGGATGACCCAGCTCTGGACACAGCTCTGAGATGACTGAAATGAAGTTGTTGTGCCCAGGCCCTGTTGTGCAGCAGCTGGTGGTGGGGCTGTGTTGGCCTGGGGAGTGCTGGGGAAGCAGCCAGCTGGAGCACCCGTGGGGGAAGGAAGGAGCAAGCAGCAGGGGGGGTCTGAGCCATCATGCTGCATCATCTCCCAGCTCCAGTCCCTCCTTGGAACCTTCCTTGTCCTGAATTGTGGAGTGCAGCTCACAGGGCATGGAGGAAGGTTAGTAACACAGGGAGGATGTCCTCTCATGAGAAGTGAAGGTGGCTCAGATCCTTTCCTGCAGGCCCAAGGCCTCTGATGTTCATTGCACACAGAAATAAATAATGGAGTAAAAATCCTGCTG